TCCAGGGGCCCCGGAGCAGGGTCCTTCCTCGCTCCAGGGGCCCCGGAAAACTCTTGCGGAGCCCGGGCCCCCGGAGCTTCTTCCGTTCCGGGTCTTCGGCAGCAATTCGGTGGCGGGGGGTCCCTCCGCTCCGGGACCCGCTGCCGAAGTGCCCCGAAGACCCGCCGCCAAAGACCCCAGGCCCCCGGAATCCTCTGGGCGGCCCTGTGTATACTGGGTGTAACCTGTGTAAAACAAAGTTGGACTCTTTACACCTAGACAGCACAGGAGGCTTTTGAGGTTGCAGGACACATATTAGCTGGATGTTTCTATTAATAAGCAGTTATTAAATAGCTACGGCTTACATTTATATGGTCTTCATTTCAGCATTAGCCCTGACAGAGTAAAACATGGGGCATGAACTGTCCTTTCTGTAGGCTCTAGAAGGGGACATTGCATCCAGTTTTCACTCATGTTTTCGATCATGACAGCTAGAAGCAGGGTTTGTTTTGCAGCAAGGAGAGGATGAGAGGTGGTAAAATCAGAGCACCGGGAGCCTGATATGACTAATGGACAGATAACTGGATTTTAAGTTTAAAGGGTATTTTGTTCTAGAGTGAAAGATATGAATCCAGGTTACATACACACTTCTAAGTAACTGATCTAGTACTATAGATGAACATACTATGCAAATTGAGCGTTTTAATGATTTTTATCACTCACCAGTTTTTCCTTGCTCTTTACAAAGGATTTTTTCTGCTCTCTTGTCCAGATAAGCGAGAATTAGTGCACAGATTAGTGAAAAGATACATGTTACACCACCTGGAAGAAGAGAAGGAGTTCACTGTACAGTAGTAACTCCAGAAAGGACTTAGATCGTGTATGTTTTACCATACACCTCTAAACAGAACAGACCAGTCTAACAATTGCAGAGTTTACTATGACCAAACACCAGTTGCTAGCATTATAAAACTAAGTGGACTAATTCAAAGTCTGAAGAATGTAAAGATATTTTGGCTTACTAAACACTACCTTATACAGACACCACCTCAAAATCTTTTATCTTTCATTTTCAAAAACAAGTGTTGCAAGTACAATTGTGCCTGTATTTGATTACAGATAACTGCACTTTATCTAGAAATATAGTTACGTGACTCCACGCACAAAACAGCAGTTACAGGATAGTGAGTGCAATGCGTGAGCAATTCTGCACCAAAAGTTAGTTGTACTTGGAATATCAGAAGCAAAGCTCAAGCCCAAATATAAGCAGGAGCAATGTCTTAATACCCATGGTTTGGTTTTGTGGGGGGGGGGGAAAAGGGGACAAAGACCTCACCCAAGTGGAAATTTTCTCTCTTCAGAGTACAGATGAATAAACATGTACAAGAACTTTGACATGCTGCCTTTCTGAGGGACAAGGGATGCACATAGTTCAATGGAAGATTAAAAAAAAAAAAAATCTACCCATGATTTCCAAGCATATGCAAGACATGAAGGCCATTATACATCCCCATAATGAAGACTAACTTTGGTTTCAGTTGCTGGCTATACACACCATAATACACCACTAACTGTCAATCAAATGTGAGAACTACCCAGATGTTGACTTTGCTTAAAATCTTAACTTATTGCTGGCCATGAAGACTTACCTTGCCAGTTATACTGCTACTCTCAGACTGATCTATAGTTTATTTTCAACACTATCAAGCAAATTTTCAGCTGAAGAACTTATAATAACTCACTCATTTAGCTTTTTCTAGTTCATGCATATTCTTTAAAATGTTCAGTGTATGTTGCTTATGTCATGTAGCATTCAGGATTTTCAGACGTGTTATTGATGACTTTTTAAAAAAATATTTACTAACCTATCATGAGTGTAAATCCAAGTGTACTGTGACCTGTAGAGCCCAACAGATCTTGAACTCTGGAGTATATCCATCCCATGATATTCATATTCACAGTGCTCCCCTAGACAGAAAGGACAGTCATGAAGAATATTGCAGTTTACAATTCTATTATAGTTTTAAAAGGATCAGCTCAGGTGAACAGTTTAAGTTTCACCAATTTCCCAATAAATATAAAAGCCATCTAAAAAAGAATGGATCTACAAAATAAGCTTGATTTATGCATCCCAAGGTATAAAATTAAAATTGCAACTAGTACAAGAATTTAATAGGTTCAAGATTACAAAGATAAGAATCCAGTCACATACAAAGTTTCAGAAGAAACCCGTATTAGATGTTTCTGCACTAGCAGCAATACCACCATGAAGTCTATATTATACACTGCAACGACTTATGTGTTATATGTATGATTTGTTTAACCCATATTTTAAGTAGACTTCAGGAGGACATGTCTAACCAGAGCAGAAGATAGTCCTCCCAGAACAAGGGATATTCCAATGCTCTGTTAAGGGAAGGCTGGAAAAGGAAAAAGAAAAAAGGAATTTTTTGCCAGAAGCTGGGAATGGGCAACAGGGGATTGATCACTTGGGATTACCTGTTCTGTTCATTCCCTCTGGGGCACCTGGCATTGGCCACTATCAGAAGACAAGATACTGGGCTAGATGGACCTTTGGTCTGACCCAGTATGGCTGTTCTTATGTTCTTAATACAGCCGATTCTTATTTCCTAGCCCAAACAGAATGAACAGCAGGCCCATCGTTGGATGGCAGGTCAGATATATTTATATAAAGTCCATAAAATACTATTTTAATATTTCTATACTGAACAGTTATGTTGTAGAGTAAGCACAATTAGAAGCTCAGGTCCCAAATCAATTGATGTATATTGCAAATTAAAATGCAAAAAAACCGCAAGCAAAATTCAGCCAAGTTGACACTCATCGTGTATACTGCAAGAGTAAAGTCTGTTGTACATTTTAAAAATTCACCCTTGAAGGCGGCAGACATTACTGCCATTCCTGTCCTGCCTTTGTAGGCAGTATTAGTTTTCACCAGGGCCTCTTCAGAAGTTTGACAGTTAACACCTCAAGGAACTGCTGTGTCCTGGTGGTTACATCATGCAAACTGTAATGCACAACATCCACGTTGGAGTTTAAAATGCTCTCTTATCAGATTCTTCGTAAATGGAGTTTTGGCAATTTTCCACCAGTGCATCCTGACCTCACCACACAGTTCCCACTTCCAAGGAGTGGAAAGTCGAATTTTAAACATATGATTATATAAAAAAAAAAAAAAAAAAAAAATTGTGTTTATAGGTCTTCATACTTACAATTCTGGCCATGCTAAGTTGTAATCCAAACACGAGGTTTAATTCCTTGCCTTTAAACCAACTGACAGCATAGGCATTTTGTGCTACTGCTAAGGATTCCCCACCAATTCTAAATGAGGGAAAGAGAAATATATGTAAAAATGTAATCTGAACACCTGTTGTGATATAACAATTCAGTACACTGAATTGACTTCAGTTTGTGTAGTGCTGTGTAGGTTCACTTGAATTTTACATGCACACATCTAATGTAACATGAATCATAACTAACAAACGTGTAGGAAAGGCAATGGTTTTGCATTTTGAAGACTATAGCAAAAAGTGGAAAAGAATAAGCTGAAGTATATGAAAATGGATTTGGTTGTGCAAAGAGAGCAAGTGAAGACAGCAGAGGCAAAAGTGAACTAAGTGAGATTGCAGCACCTTCTTAGCGGAGATGGAATTGTGTAAGCGCCAAGGGGTGATGACTGAAGTTAACAGAGCCAGGATTTCACAAAACTAAAGTATGTGTTTATTGTTGCTCATCTACAGTATGTCATGGATTGTCAAACTTTTTCATACTGTCGATCACACCTTAATAAAGGTATCTTATAGCCCACCTCTTTTCATTTTTGATCCTGCAACACCCCAATTATTTACATGTTAAATTGTATTAAATGCTAAAACACATTACTTTTACAACTGGAGACAAGGAGCACCAGCACCTCAGCGCTATTCAGATCTTTACAGACGACCGCTTGGCCTGCTGGTTATGTATGGTTTAGTTATTGTTTAAATTAAGTAAAGACATTAAATACAGCACTGAAACATTAGAAAGTCATTTCTAATTCTTTAATAAATTTAGGAATGCAATTGCAACCCTTTGCAGACCTCACTGAAGATATATCAAGACCTAAGTATGTAGGCTGTGGGAGCACAAGTATGCTAGGCACTTTGCAGAACACAGAAAAAGGTGGTCATGCCTCTAAGTGCATACAATCCAATGTTGACCTTTTACCTAGACTTACCCAAATACAAATCTGCCAGCTTCCATTAGCCAAAAAGCATTAAATAGAGCTCCCGTCGCAAAGATCACCTGTAAAATAGTAACATTTAAACAAAAAACAGAACAAATTTTAACAACCCAACTTTAAACTAAAATGATTCTGGAACATCAAACTACACAAATCACATACCACGTGAGCTAACAAGCTGTTTTTTGCTTTGTGTTTTTTTTTTTTTTGAAAGCTAGCAAACATATGGAACTTTGCAATATTTTAATGCTTAATGTGCTGCTAATGAGCATTTAAATACACACATTTGTAAGTATGGACAACACTACCTAGGAAATTTAGTCAAATGCCTATTGATGAATATCCAGTTGTTAACTGATGCAAATTGAATTTCTGTTTAAGCATTTAAGTTTAAAAAGCTAAAAAGAAAGCAAGTCTCTTTGTAAAAGTATTCTTCATACTAGCTGCTGAAGGCATCCTAAAGTGTGAATGAACATTTGAACCTATGGAAAGGATTTTTTTTTTTTTTTAAATAAATTACTAATTATAGTCAGTCCCTGTCACTAATAGGTTATCATGCACAGAATATGGATTAAAGCATTACCTAGTTACTATAGTTTCAATATAAACAAGCTAATAAACTTGAAAACTGCTACAAAATCCTTATAAAAATATTGTTTGCAAAGTCTGATTAATTGTACCCAAACCTACAGCAGTTTATGTATATGCAGTATTCCCATAACTAAAAATATAGGAAATATAAAACTGTGAAATAGTTTTTCCTAGCTTAAAAGGAGCTTAATTATTGGCCATGTTATCGGATTACCCCTCCCGGCAGGAAGATGGACACAAGTTACTGCAAGGCCACGTGGGAGAAAGGATGTTTACGGGGCACTGTACTTTACCACTACATAGAGTCAATCAGAACTACTACAGAACATACGCACCCGATGTGCTCTATGTTTTAAGGCCGTGCAGGTTTCAGGTAGAAGGGAAGAATCAGGACAACTG